TGTGAATTTTCTCACGTAACCAAAAATAAATGGCCGGTCACGGTAGCCGAGCGGTCTGAGGCATGTACTGTCTTCGCTCGCTTGGAAACCGGGATCGTGGGTTCGAATCCCACTCAGGCCATGGATGTTTAGTTTGTGTGTGTGCGTTTTTCTGTGTTTGTGTACAGGTAGAGGCCTTGCGACGAGCTGATCACCCGTCCAAGGAGGCCTACCGAATGTATAAGATCTAGAAAAACCGAAGTGAACGGAGAAATTCATGGAGGTAGGCCTAGGCCCACTGGGGCTGTAGTGCCAAGGGGGAAAAAAAATAAATGTACACACAGGGAAATGGAAGGAGCGATGCAAAAGAATGGATGGAACTCAAATGCCCAGACAAACTATAACTTACAAAATATTTTACAAAGGAGATGTATGTAAAAGGAGGAAAAGATGGGTAGAATCGTGAAAGAAGTCGAATAGGCTAATATCTAATCCTTGGAGTGAAAAAAGTAGAACAGTGGAGTAGACATATGTGTATGTTGCTGGTGTAGGTGATTCGCACAAGCAGTGAGAGCAGCAGCACAGAATCACTATGGCGGCGTGACGTGTGGAGGGCGGTGGGGGCGGGGCGGCAATGTCATGTTCCCCATGACAATGAATCAGCCTCAATGAGAAGACCGAAAGAAGAACGGCCCAATCTCCTTTCCCTCTGCACCGACAGCTTAGCAAAGGAGACACTACAGCTATATATAAGGTGGACACAATTTCAAACACTAACTTTCACAAATCAAAGTTCAAAATGTTATCGTACGCAGACACTTTACACTGCTGTATGTACAGAACCCACAGTTTCAGTATCGCCAACACTAAAGTCCTTCTTAATATAAGATCGTTAGTTCAAGCTACCTCCTATCCTTACAATGTCTCCCTAAATTAATCTTGATATTGTCAACCCATCTTCTTCTGATCCTTCCAAATGAGGGTCATCCTTAAAGGTTTCCCAAAAAAAATTCTGCGTACATTCTATATCCTTGCCATTCTAGCTACATTCCCAGCTCATCGTAACCTATCATACGTTCCACTATCCTAGCAGCACCTGGCGAGTCTGTATGACATGGAGTTCCTTATGTTCTAATTTTTCTTTTCAAATTCGCATAATGAGGGTTGGAGTCCAGCTGGGTTCACTCGGCACGTCAGCTACTGATTGGCCTATTGTACCTGATGATGGAGAATATAGTGGGGAAACTTGTCCCAGTCCTACTTTGTCCACCACAAATCTCATTTGACCAGACACGGGCTTGAACCCGGACAGCCGCAGTGGGAAGCCAGCGACTAACCGCTTGAGCTGTGGCGCGGCCTCCTAATGTTCTAAGTAGCCAGCCTAATTCTTCTGTCTCAGATCCTAGTATTTCTTTTACTTCCGAATACTTTTTTGAAGCACTTTAGCGTATACTATTTCCTCAAAATAATGGAGCGACATTTCGCATTCATGCAAAATAAATGACAAATGAATGTCGATAGGTAACAAAATTCACATGTTATGAATAGTATAACATTTTTGCTGTGCATGTGTACGGTTACTGATTATTAGATTAAGTTGTATTGTGTCTTCAATTAGTAATTATAAGGAATACCAAAACGGTGAAGGTTTTGTTATTTTAATGAGAGTTCTATATCGATGGCTATGTTTCGATTTACGAATGTTGGTTTCTCTGCAAAACGGTTAAAATGTTAACAGACCCAAATATGTGTTCCGTCAAACCTCTATTAATCTCAAATTTCATATTCCCCAATGAATATCTGTACTAAGTAGATGCATAAGTATTCGTAGAGTCTTTTCAATTACGTGTGCTCAGAACTTAAAAGAACGTTAGGCATGCAGCGCGTACACGTTACTTGTGTAACTGAGCATACATATCACAGATTTAAATGACATTAAAAATACTTGAGGATGAATGTTAAAATGTCATTGTCAGTAGTCGAATATTTCATATGATCGGCAAGAAAAATGAATCTTCTTAACGCGGTTTGACTCCATAATATTGGAGGTTTACATGACGGCGATGGTTTGAATAGTGGTATTCTGGGTTATGATGATGTTTAGGATGGTAGCTGGTTACCAAGTTTTAGGAGGAACCTTTCTGGTCCATCTTCAGCGAAGCGGTGACATCGTGTAATTTTATAGATTGTGAAAACCTACCCTGAAGATTAAGGCAGCAAATTCTTGCAAATGTTTGTTAATCATCTTCCAAATGTACATTGTCACAAACCAGAAGACTACAATCCAATACTCGTTACTTCTACGCCCACAGGGCTTCTTAATTCTTTGAAATCCCAAATTATTTCACCAGTACGTACGATTTTAAGTTTCTTTCTGAACTAAGAAAAGTATACACCCAACGCGTATTGTCTCGTAACTGTGTCGTAACTTCCGTTGTCGGAAATCTATACTCGACTAGTCGAACTTGAGGTATGTATCGTTCTTCAGAATTAATCCAACCTGATTACTCCTCGTTATCTAAAGTAGTGATCCAGTTCTTGCTACTCTCGTCATCAGCAATGAATCTCGGGAAAAGAAACACTTTCCCTCTTCAAATATGTTGCAGCTTATATAGGACAGAACTTGAAGTGTGCCCCACAAGGAATAACCACGGAACTATTACTGGAGCATCTAAAAAAATTAAATTCTAAAGAGCGAAATGGTTTAAACTGCGGAAAATCACTTAATATACGTTTATAATTTCATGGAGTACAATCCTTCATGAGAAGCTGATAGTCGTTTAACACATAAAGTAATTCTTCACCCTACATAGAATCAGGAAGTTAGTTAACATGTTCACAAGGGCCCGCTAATTGCATCCATTACATATATTCGAAACCAATGTTTCTAACATTCTTTTTAATATTATCACTTATGTACGTCTAGGAATTCTAAATTATTTCTTTCCTTCATTTTTCCCGTTAAAAATTATATGAGCTTTTCTCATTAAGTTTCATTAAAGTAGGAAACTCAGTAATATTTTTACGTTTGATTTGTTTCATTCTGGTCCGTCACACTAACAATTACAAATATAAACCACTCCGTCCAATGTGACCTGTAAGTTTTTTACTACATGAAAACTTAACACCCTTACATGTTTCGGTCTCTGTGGACCATCTTCAGAGGGCAAACATCACTACAAATAGGAAACCACTATCACATAAGTTGCTTAGACGTAAAGTACGTACACTTATATGCTACAATGCATAGTACACATAATAGAACATTTCACAAACACAGCAGTTTCCTGGGAAAGTAAAGTTTTTAAAAAATTATATAAAATTTCTTGATGCTAATTAAAATTTTTTTTTTTTGTATTTTTTGTATTGTCAATAATTAAAATTCGTAAACCATGCAGGCTCGTGTTCGTCCTCCCATTGTCCTCCCATCGTCCCTCTTGTATGGGGCAGATATTGTGCCACCTGGCTATCTTGGCTATATCTGCCCCATACAAGAGGGACGATGGGAGGACGAACACGAGCCTGCATGGTTTACGAATTTTAATTATTGACAATACAAAAATACAAAAAAATTTTAATTAGCATCAAGAAATTTTATATAATTTTTTAAAAACTTTACTTTCCCAGGAAACTGCTGTGTTTGTGAAATGTTCTATTATGTGTACTATGCACTGTAGCATATAAGTGTATGTACTTTACGTCTAAACAACTTATGTGATGGTGGGTTCCTATTTGTAGTGATGTTTGCCCTCTGAAGATGGTCCACAGAGACCGAAACATGTAAGGGTGTTAAGTTTTCATGTAGTAAAAAACTTAGTCACATTGGACGGAGTGATTTATATTTGTAATATTTTTACGTTACTGAGGACGGTAAATATATCTTCCTCAATTCATGGCACAGGCAGACGGACTTCACGCACTCAGTACAGTGTACATATAAACAAAAGGGACTCCTGAGACCGACGAATATATTAGAAAACGAAAAATATTTATGTACTATAGGTTGGGCCGATACATTAGAGTTCGGCAGTATAGAGGAGGCAGTACATTTAATGCAGATTGCATCCCCCCTGGTTACTTTCGGCAGTTGAATATGGACTATATCTTCATGGCTCCTGTCTGAGAACCACCTCTTATTTAGTAAAAGTAAAAAGTAAAGCTATCCCTGTACCAGGCCGTGAAGGCCCAAAGGGTTGTGAGACGTTGAGGGTCCCACATTATCTAGACAATCGGCTCAAAGATGGCGGTAAGGTTGTCAGCCTTACGCACCGGCCGCGCTTTACTCCCCAGGAAAATTATTTAATTAATTCCTGGTACTCATTTCTGTTAGAGGCTGAGTGAACTCCAGGGCCATAGTGCAGCTGGAAGGATTAGGTCAATTGAAAAAATCCAATGACCTCATCGGGACTTCAACCCGCGACCTTCCGGCTTGTAGCAACCAACTACGCTACCGCGTGCCCCCCTCTTGTTTAGTGCTATAGCTAAACATCCCCTCGCGCCACAGTTAAACAGCCACTGAATGACAAATATACAATTATATAATGGAATATAAACGTTGAAGCAATTTTAAATAAAATATATAGACCACTCTTCATGGCTGAATGTTCGAACACAGTAAATCCTTCCGAAACACAGGTCAGGACACTACGGGCCAGTTTATCTTCCATCAAATGAACTGACCACTGAAGCAAAGAAGATAATCACATTACTTAATGGCGTCAAGAATATGAAGATTGAAGTCCAGAACGCAGTTGTCAGAAGCAAATAGCGTTAAACTTGCAAGTCGTCACTAGTGACACACATATCATTAAAAAATAGCACTTCGCAAATTCGGATAATCCACAAAGTTCATATAAATTATTAAATGGCGATAGAAAATATAAAACGTAATAGAAGTAAAACGGACGAGTCATAGAGCGAATGCGAGAACGGGCGCGATGGTGAGAACGCTGCAATCCAATAACTCAGTAACCGTTATAATTAACGGACTAATTAATGAACAGACAATATATATATCCTACCTCCACCGCCGAAGTCATCACTGAAGCCCATGTTCACTGGACGAGAACCTCTCACCGAGTGGCCAGGGCATCATATTAAGTGACATTGATTGAAGCGGTCGCACCAGTGAGTCGAGATATATATCGGCATTGTCTCGTCTACAGGGTGTTCCGCTATAACTAATCTCTTACATTCATTTGGCTTCTTTATCCATATATTTGTATAGGTCCATTTTTATTTTTATTAACGAGATGCGAGTCATGAAGTATTACGTCACATCCTTCAGATTTCATAGCTCACTAAAATATTGACGTATTCAGGGAAATGAGCACGCTCTTTATCTGGATTTGAAGGATAACGTCCTGTACTTAGCACATTTTCAAGGTGGCAGCCTTGTGCTTAATTGAAGTATCGCGCCGTGAAGACGTACGTATCTTAACTGCAGCACCAGATTATGGAGGGGTCGTCAAATTTACGCGCCGGCCGCGTGGACCCGAGTAGTGAATTCCCAGCACTTACTGAATGGGAAGGTGGGTGTGCCCAGAGCCTCTATGGGCATAATCGAGATGAGAAAAAATCCCTACCGAGAATTGAACTCCGCTTCCTCGATCATCAAGTCTATAGTTAACTATAGCTATCCCATAGTAACGGGTAATTCACATTGTTGGAAATTTTCAAGATGTATAGAATGTATTTTTTTTTCACCAGTCGTCTCAAAGACAAATTAAATTCATACCAGAGGGAGTAACTCCGTGATTTTAGTCCGCAAGCGAACTATACCGACCGAGCGACCGCCGCCTGTCGGTGAAATTTAGTGCCAACTTTTGCGGATAGAGAATGTCGCGTGGTCAGCTCAACGTAGAGGAACTAACAAATTTATTATTTATTTCACCACAATTATGTGTATAAGCGCACTAGATTATACATTACAACATTTTTTTTTTTCGTCTTTTTTGCCATCATTAGTTAACATATTGGCAAGTGTGGGGTGACTGTAGACGGGGTTTTGGATTGGATAATTGGATTTATTGACACCTTGTTCACACCACACGGAACTACAGACAATGTAGCGCTGTCGCAATCCTACGTGCATTACATTTCACCGTCACACACATATTAGGGTTCTCAGTCTTCACTAATCGTATCCTGGCAACGGATTTTTCACAATCTCACTGTCATTTAAAATCACACATGAAGTTTTATTGTCAGAGGCTGATTCCTTTCTTGCCATTTTTCTGCAACTACCAATTCCGAAGACTCGACTCAATTCAATTCCTCTGCTCCCAAGCTCACATCCTGGTAGGCTGGCGTCCCGAAACTCGCCTCTCCGCTTTGAGAGGTCAGTTGAGAGTACAAGGACGGGTGAGTACAGAAGAGTACAAGGACGATTTTGAAGTGGGTAGATTAGCGATAGCGCTATAATTGACTGTGATTAAGAGAAATTGTAAACGAAGGTGATAATAAATCACTCACTTACTCACTCATGCAGCTGAGCCCTTCTTGAGAAGCCGCCATCTGCGCAGCTACTCAGGAATTTCCCAGCATTTTATGGAACCCGAAGGTTTATTACATTGCTCACAAGAGCCCTCCACTGGCCCCTATCCTCAGCCAGATCAATTCAATCCATATCATCCAACTCCATCTCTCTCAGATCCATTTTAATATTGTCCACCCACCTAGTTTTGCTCTTCCCAGTGTTCTCTTTCCATCTCGCTTTCCCACCAATATCGTATACGCATTCCTCTTCTCCCCCATTCGTGCTACATGCCCTGCTCATCTCATCCTCTTTGACTTGTTAATTCTATTTATACTTGGAGAAGAGCACAAGTTATGAAGCACCTCATTATGCAGTTTTCTTCAACCTCCCGTCACTTCATCTTTTTTACTCCTACTATTCTCCTCAACACCCTGTTCTGTGTTAGTAAATTCAATCATCAAATCCAAAATCGTTTTATTATTCGTCACGCAAACCCCGAATACGTGACGTCTGGTGTCAGAGGTGGTCGAATTCTATCCATTGGACCCAATTGTTAGACTAAAGACCGCAGTACTGCGGAAATGCAAGTGGAACAAATGATGACCAAATGTAAAGCAGGAATCCACGACAAAATGAACACCGACAGAGAAAAAAGAAAAGCTGACCGAGAAGAAATGCTTGCCAAAATGGAAGCCGATAGAGAAGAACTGCTGGTAAAGTTGGAAACCAACCAAGCCAAAACAGAAGCTAACCACAAGAAGATGATGACCAAGTTAGATGCCCATCATGAAAGGATAATGACCTGTCTAGGAAAGACGCTAAAATGTTGTGTTGCCATTGGTCAGTGTAGGGAGAAAGTAGCATAAAATTAAATGAGAATGTAGAGATATATATTACCTGATCATGGTCGAAAAGTCGATACATGTTGTAATGTATAGTCTAACGTACTTATACACATAAATTGTGGTACTATAATAAATTAGTCACGTACAATATGACGCTACAATGCGGTGTTTTTATAATAAGAGGGACAAATACAATAATTGAAGCATCCTGAACGTGGCTTCGGGAAGGTCGGTGGTCAAGAGAGTAAGAGGTAGAACAGGGGTTCGGAATATGTGTATAAAAGAATTCAAGAGATTCATTTGAGTAATATGATGAAATGCAGACAGTGTTTTGTTAACAGGAAGGATTCCTTGTCGTAATTTGGCATTACATACGTAGTTGTTAAGGATACGGAGTGGATAACTTAAAATGTTTTAAAATAACGGCTGTAAGGATTAGAATGAGATTACAAAAGTTCTGTAAAAGTACAGATGTATATTCTCAGTCGCTTTAACTGTTGCACAGGCAAATTCTTTTCCATTTTGAATGTTAAAAATATGCATTTTACACTCGTACTGCTGTCGCTTTGAAACTGTCGGATGACGCCACAGTTGATTTTATCAACTCCACACAATGGCCACCAAATGCTCCAGATCTCCATTAATCAGATTACCGTGTTTGGAATGAGCAAAGCGGTTAAGTAACTGCCTGCCTGCCTGCCTTCCTGCCTGACTGACTAACTCCGTAGGGCTGAGTCCCTCTTGAGAAGCTAATAGTTCCTCAGCTACTCTGGAGATATCTAGCATTTGAAGGAAGTGTACCCGAAGGTTCATTACCGTGTTCACGTAAGCCTGACAGTCGTCCCTGTCCTGAGCCAGATAAATCCAGTCCATAACCTTACGTTCTATTTCTTTGAAAACAATTTTAATATTCTACATCTAGTTTTTCCTAGTGGATACCATTTTTCAGGTTTTCCAACCTAAAGTTTGTATGCATTTCGTTCTTTCCAATTAGTGATACATGCTCTACCCATCCACCTCGATTTGATTACCCAGATAAGGTTTGGGGACGGGTACGAATTATGAAGCTCCTCGCTATGCACTTGTATCCAGCCTGATATTATTTCATCCCTCTTAGGTTCGAATAGGATCAGTGTTAGGGCAGTCGGTGTAGCGACTGGATACAGGCTGGACGACTGAGGGGTCGGAGGTCGAGTCCTAGTAGGGTCAAGAATTTTATTTTCTCCACGTCGTCGAGACCGGCACTGGGGCCCACCCAGCCTCCTATCCATTGGGTACTGCTGGTTCTTTCCCCGGGGTTAAAGCGGCAGGGGCGTGAAGCTGAAAATTCACCTCAAACTAGTGCCGAGGACAAGAAAGTGTGGATCTATATATCATCTCCCCCATACCACTTCATGTCTTAGTGCTTAATTAGTTAAGCAGAGGGAAAACTTTACCGTTTACCTTTATCCTTAGGTTCGGATTTCTTTTCATCCTATTCTCAAACAAACTCATTCTGTTTTCTTCTCGCAATATCAGAGACCAAGCTTCACGCTCACATAAAATTATATTTTTATGTATTTTAATATTTGCTTTTAGGCAACAAGGAAGAAGGAAAGAACGGTTCTAAAATGAATGGTAGCAAGAATTCTATGAAATTAATCTATTCTTAATTTTCTTTCCTGATTGTAATTTCGATCTATATTAGCTTCGTTCCCAAATATTTGAAATTTTCCGCATTTTCAAAGTATCTATTAGTCATAGCTCAAGCAGTTAGTCGCTGGCTTCCCACCGCGGCGGCCCGGGTTCGATGCCGGGTCTGGTCAACTTGGATTTGTGGTGGACAAAGTGACACTGGGGTAGGTTTTCTCCGAGTACTTCGGTTTCCCCTGCCAATCTTCATTCCACCAACTGCTCCACAATCACCCTCACCTATCATCTGGGGCTGGTACAATAGGCCAGAAGTGGGCGCAGTATAAGGGACTTAGTCCCACCCCACTAGCAATAAAAAATATATTAGTCGAATGTATGATATAATTTTATCCTGTATTTTAATAACGACATACGTATTTATCATGTGATGTAGTGTTCAGAGTTCCTGAATACAGATCCAAAAGTTCGGGTTCGATTCCCGGCGCTACCAGATTTCCTGAGAAGTAGTGTGCCTGGAACGGTGTCCACTCAGCCTCGTGAAGATAATTGAGGAGATGTCTCAAGTAAATAGCAGCTCCGATCCAGAAAATCGAAATTAACGGCCGTGGGGATCCATTACGCAGACCACTCGGCACCCTCTATCCGCAAAAGTTGGCACTAATTTCGCTAACAAGCGGCGGTCGCTCGGTCGGTATAGTTCGCTTGCGGACTAAAAGCACAGAATTTGTTTTGTTTGCTTCTCTACCACCGTCATTTCTAGCTCCTATTAGAGTGTCTGTACTCCTCATTATGACATTTATGTTTTCCCCTCAATGCATTAACATCAGCTTAGACAAAACACGTCCAACGTGGTCTTTGACCTTCAAGGATAATAAGCAATGGCGATAAAGCATCTTCTTCTTTCAGACTATTCAGGATACGAAACGTGAATGAAAGAGTTAGCGTACAAAGACCAGAGCGAATATAAAAAGACCCAGGAGCTACGGCAACACGTAACGAGGCATCTGACAGAATTCACTCCCTCGTCCACTAATGGAATAGATGGATACAGGCTCTTCTTCGGAACAAATACGGTTCCTATTCAACATCTATTCCAATAAAGGAAATGTGGCTAAATTA